AAATATCCTGTAAAATCCTTTGGGCCCTGAGCAATGATAAAGTTAAGCGCGAGACTTAAATGAACGCTAGATCGACTAAATTTCATAGTCCCTTCAATTAACTTTGAAAGCAGGGTATCAGCTCGTCCATCAGCTCTCATTGTGGTTTGTGTTTTATGTGTGAGCTGCGTATTTACAAATTTATTTGCTTTTATCTACTGTGCGGCTGTGTTTTGCTCATTAATTTAGCAATTTGTATGCAAAATGCACACACATACCCAGCCCCTTGACGCTGCCACGCCCACTAAGCAATCGCCTTTGCTAACTGTCGCTGGCATTGTCTGTTGTAATTAGAATCGTGTTAATGAATTTCATTTGTTTGCCTGCCCGCCTGCCTGCCAGCCTGTCAACGTGTTCATTTCTTTTGCACTTTCGCCTTCGTTGCGTACGCGGCGTATGCGTAATAATTTCTATTCATTTATTTATTCATTTTTTTACCGCCGCACAGAAACAGATCTTTTGTTGTCCACTGCCTGGCCTAGAGATAGTCATTTAAATTTTAATTACTTCTAGGCAGCAGAAAAAAAATCGAATTTTTGAATGCATTTAAATTGTGCATCCAAATGCGAAATTAAATTTGTTGCCCTTCCCTTCTCTCCTTCTTTATTTGATTTTATACTCATTTCACCTTTTTATTTGATATTTGCATTAATTTTATTTATTTTTTWACTCTGTCCTTGGCAATTAATTGTTTAATTTGGTTATTTATAAATTAATGATGTGTTTTTCATATGTCAATGCACATTTGCATTTGGCTTAATTTTAATTTTATTTTCATACCCTGCGTCCGTTGAATGTGGAAAATTAGGGTATACTGGTTATGTTAATACATATGTATGTAACGGGCAGAGGGAGGCGTGGTAGAGCCCTGGTCCCCCTGCGCAGCTAGCAAAGTGCGTGAGTGCGTATGTGTGTGCGTATCTGAGTTGTTGTCTATGTATGCAGTATGAAGGCGATATTTGAAACATAAGTTCTGTGAACGGCTCAGGGACTTCCGTAGTCGAGCAGTCTCAACCAGAGCTTTCTTGCTCTTTATTCTATTTTATTTATTTTTTTTTTTAAATATTTATATTTTTTTGTTGCGCTTCTTTAATTTCGTTTTAAATTACAAATATCGTTATGCATTCATTTCAATTATGCAGATAAGCGCAAATGTAATGAAAGTTGAACAAGCGGATTAATGGCAAAGCGAGACAGCGAAAAAGGTGGCTTAAAGTCAATTTAATGAGTTATAAAATGCGTTAGTCCGTGACAGTTAGTGGCAATTTGATTGGACATCAATGAGCCACACAAAGAACGCTCCATTAAGCCGCTCAACTGCACAGCGGCCGTATTTAATTGTTAATTATTTGATACGAATCAGGGAGGCATTAACAAATCTATGGCTGGCAATATCCACATAAAAGCTTTAAATATTA